AAACGAATTCAAGGGTTCCAACCATGTGCTTCGCAAGTGCGAAAAATCGCATATGTTCTCAATCAATGTGAAAGGAAACGCGAAATTTCGCATGTGCGGTTCATCGCTTCACCGATTTCGCAGGAGAAAATCGCACCATGTGAATCTGGCTTAAAGCCCGATTCACATGGTGCGATTTTCTCCTGCGAAATCGGTGAAGCGATGAACCGCACATGCGAAATTTCGCGTTTCCTTTCACATTGATTGAGAACATATGCGATTTTTCGCACTTGCGAAGCACATGGTTGGAACCCTTGAATTCGTTTGACGATACTAATTTCGATATTTAACAAAATTATAAAATTTTCAGATTTATTTATTAGCTTCTGGTAAAAAGTACGCCGTATACTTATATTTAGGGCCGATTCAGACGTTTGCATCGATTGCATTCGCATCAACGAAAACGACGAAAACAACGAGTACGACGAACGCGACAAGGACACCGGGAGAGTCACAGCTCATAACTGCTTGAGCAAGCTAGTTGTTCCGTTGCTTGGCATGTCGCGCAAGGCGAACAGTTGTCCCGGTGGCTTCGTCGCGTGGACGATGTTCCATATTGAAAGGTGGCAAGTAGCAGCGCGTCTTGACTTTCATAGAGCATGATGGCCGCTGATGACGACGAGTTCAGACTGCTCTGTAAAAAGGAATACCTACTTCTGCGGAAAAAAAACTCCCGCTCCTAGACGGCAGCCCGCGGTGATGGCGGGTCAGGCCGTGCTGGCGAAACAGAGCCAAAGAATCGGAGTTTTACTCATTGGTAAGTCGACTTGTGCTTTTTTGCGAACAGGTTTCTGGAATACTTTTTCTCTGCAGACCCTTTTTATGCTGCACAGCGACCCGGAGCAGTTTCGAAGATATTACCGGATATATAATGCGGAACGCCTTTGAAAGACTCCACACTCGCCTGGAAACAAAGCTTACGAAGCAATATGTCGTCAGAGAGCCCGTTTCGTCGCGGGTGCGGCTTGCTATCACTTTGAGGTAAAATGGTATTCTCTTTAAACTTAACTGTTTGGAGTGAATACGAGGTGAAATTAAACTGGTTTATATGGCGAACTCATTACTAGTTTCTCGGCTTCCACACATTGATGTACACAGTAATGTTTTGTTTTTATTCAGGTACCTGTCATCGGCAACGTCAATGCAGGATCTTGCACTGCAATTCAAGGTTGGAGTGTCAACAGGGGCATCCATCGTGCATGAGAGACGTCCGCATATATGAAAGGTGCTTCGCCCAAAACACATGAAGGTAAGCAAAGAAATTTGATTTCGTTTTTGGTAACTTGTGGAAAAGAGGACGGTTTCACATGGAGCGATTTTAGTTGCGATTTCGCAGTTGCGACGGCGCTGTTGCGGCAAACAGGCAGGTTCAATGCGATTATGAAATAATCGGAGCTGCGTCAATTGTCAAACATCCTTCGAGACGTCACCAGCGCCGCTGCGACGGTACGAAAAGACAGCCAATAAAAACGCGCCTCATCCAAAACCAACCGTATCCTTAGTGTCGCATGCATGCTGTGAAAGAGTCGCTGGTGTCTCGTAATGAAAAAAACACTTGAAAATGGAGGTGGTATTCCGGTCGTGTGGTATTCACTGGGGGCCATAGCTTTCGCCGGTTGCTGCCGAGAGCACGTGCTGTTAGTGAATTTGCACAACGCTTCTGCAACGTATATTTCACACCGTCAAGATTGTTTATCTTTGCCAGCAGTACGTAGCAGTTCTTTTTGAGCTCTAGCTACGAACAATGCGCGCCAATACGGCGTCCCCTAAATACCGCCTTTAAAGATGTAGATCATGACGAACAACAAGACTCACAGTGGTGGTCTTGGGAAATTGATGAATTCAGGTTTCCCCCCCCCCCCCCCCCTGCCCCGGTGGTGTACTCTTTCTACACACGACCAAACCACGGAATCATCCAGAATTCTAAATCAGGGGGTGTTGTAATTATTCGGGGGGTGGGGGGGGGGGGGGGGGGGGGCTGTTGGGAGGGGGTGGCCTTAGGTCTAGATGCATTGGTCAAGAAATTCTGAGGGGTGTCGCCCCCAACCTGGAGATAAATAAGGGGGTGTTAGAAGGGGCTGGCTTTAGGTTTATATATATTGCTTAAGACATCCTGGGGGGGGGGGGGGGGGGGGGGGGTGTCACACCCCACCTGGAGATAATTATGGGAGTCGGGCGTACAAATCACTGCAGCTAACTCGTCCTTTGCAGCTGCTCCTAACTATTCGCAGCCGAAATATCTAAATGAATCATGTTGAAAGCTGTACTGTCAAGAAAGAGAGCCATTGATTTATGATTATAGGGACGAACTTGGAAAGAGAGGGCTGCAGACCTGAGGATGTTGAGGGCCCCAATGCTATTACTGCGCCACCTTCGAAAGACGGGGTCACACATTACGCATCCTACGAATTATGTTTGCAGACAAATAGTAATTTGAGGCACCGCAGCATCCCTGCTTTTTGATGTCGCACGGCAACCAATGAAAGGAGCAGCCTGGCACGCGGCTTATGAAACACAGATGCGTCAATGAGTCGCGTTCGATCGATGTCGGCAGACTGTTTTTTGCCTTTTGTATAAGCAGTCTGGCACCGGCCTGACTTGGGCATAATATGATAGCTTACAAAAGTAAGTGGTGTGTGCCTGGAGCTGGGCTAGTTGGCTAAACATGCTTCTGAAAGTTTCCAGCTGAACGTAGAAAAAAAGGAGCGAGGGAGAAAAAAAAACAAAAAAACAGACACACAGCTTTTCAGATCCAGTTACAAAAGTATTCGCAATTGTTAAGCGTCAACAAGTATTTCTCATATTTGAGGATGCATTTATTACCAGTATTACTATAGGTAAAGATTACATAAACGGCTTTTAAATAACAACGTGAAACCATGTATGCACTTTGTGCTGTACTTCTAGCTCCCATCAAGAATCACAGACCAAGGGAAATTGCCAAGGGCTTTGAGACAGGGCGGAATTTTCCTCATTGTGTGGGGAACGTTGACGGAAAGCACGGACATATCTTGCCGATTCTCGAAGCCTGTACTATAACTACAAGGTGCTGTTTATGGGTCTACAAATTTACTTTAACACATATCATGTTTTGGAAGAGTGCATGAAGTGACGTAACATTCGGCTTTTCAGGGTAACCTACTCTGTAGTGCTGATGGCCGTCGTGGACAGCAAGTCGAGGTTTATGGCCACAGACGCTGGAGCGTATGGCCACCAAAGTGATGGTGGCGTCTTCAAGGCACCAAGGATAGGACAGTACCTCAGTCAAGCTGCCTTGAATTGTCCACCACCAAATCTGCTGCCATCTTCCCATGTTATCGCCGCGTCCGTCTTCGTTGGAGACGAGGCATTTCAACTGAGGTCGGACTTTCTGAGGCCCTGTCCTGGTTGATACCTCAGCGATTATCTAAAAATATTCAACTATCGACTGTGTAGAGCGAGGTAACCTTTAGAATTGTTGCACTTGCATTATAATAACAAAAATCACAGTGTTGTCTTTGTCCCATTTCCAGAAGGTGCGTCCAGAACGCATTCGAAATTTTGGCTACTAGATTTTGCATCTTCCGCAGGCCAATCGACCTCCTCCCAGACCACGCCACTGGAGTCGTCCGCGCAGCTTGTGTACTGCACAACTACCTACAAGACGACAAGTTGCACATGCTAAATGCCAATGCTGATTGAAGTCGACCACTTCGGCAACATCGTTGATGGCCAGTGGCGCAAGGAGGTCTCTCAACAGACAAACGCGTTGCTCCACCTACCGAGGCTGAGATCGCGGCACGTCGACCAATCTGTCCGAAAATGCAACATAGTGGCCACCGCAGTGAGAGACCTGTACCGCAGGTACTTGGTAAAGGAAGCTGCAGTGTCATGGCAAAGGAACCGCGCTGGACTGAAATCCTAAGTAGTGTCAGCGGTATGGTGACAAATCACGAAGTTTTCAAGTGTTTGTGTGTGAGGATCGTCTGACCTATTTCCGGTGGAACAGGGAGCTGAGGCCACCATTACAACAATATTCTGCCGCTGCGAGTTCGCTACTTTTGAACGGGCGCTCTGGTGAGAGACGGCTTCCGTGTGAGGCCCACTAGGACTTTGAACAGAGAAAGTGAAACATTTGTATTGTACCAAGACCGGTGCTACTGGAGGGGGATGAAATTAGGGACTCTCCCTGTTCATGTACGCTATTAATGTGCTTAACTAGGGGTGGACGTAATTTATACTCTGCCGCCCGTGGAGGAGTGACACAGTCCTCTGAGATCCTTGGTTGGATAAGTGGGACGAGTGTTTTCAGTGCACGTTCTGCAAGATCCTGAGCTGAGGCGCAGTCCTTAAAGGGAAGCCGGAACACTTCTTTAAAAAAAAAAAAGAGATAGAGCTTGATTCTAGCGTAGTTTTATCCCGTTGATATGAATATCGCGTTCGTTTTCCCCGAAGATGTAACTTAAAGGGATACGGAATCGAAACTTGAAATATAGAGAAAACATCAAGAAATGAGTTCAATATGATCAGCTAAGCCTGTAATGAATAATCGCACGGTCGTATTTTGAGCAGATGGCTATATTTTATGCTCTAAATGCCGCGATTTTGGCGAGCGCTTCAAAATCAGCCATGGAGGAGCGCGATGCATCTCGGGAGATCCGGCAGACGTCTTGACGTCATCATGCCTCGGACGACCAAGCGTACCGTAGTGACGAGTTTTGCCACTTGGAGGCGTCAACGCGTTACAATCTCGCTTTGTCGAAGTACCCAAGGGCTGTAGATATCGCGGGGCCAGCAGAGGCAGCAGAGGCGCGGAGGGGCGGAGGTGTCAGAGCTGCTTCAACTGCCTTGAGTGTGCGATGGCGTGTCTACATGACGAGAGTGGTGGCAGCGTCAGTGGGTACGATGACATTAGCGAAGACGAAGACATCAACAGATCGCTAGTGGCTATGGTGGGGGAAAAGCGATTCGGCTCAGAGCCATATCTGTACGATCCTTCGGCATCGTCGTCCGCAACAGACGAGGAGTCGTCCGACTCTCCGGAAACGCCAGGCTGGCCAGGCAGCCCACATCCACCAGCAGCCCGGCGCGTCGGCACGGCGAATTGGTGAGCCTAGGGTGCCTTCATGTGCGCTTTGCTTAGGGTGGAGACATCTGGCCATTTTGTCTCACACTTTTATTTTTACTTTTTGTTCAGAAGCGCGTGAAAGAACGTGTCCTTGCACGCGCTCGTGGCGCTGACTGTGCTCCGGCGACGTTTTGTTTTCGTCGATTTCTTTGTATTTTACCCGTGAGCGCGTGCTGTCGGCATCGGGTACTACAAAGGGTGGCATCACCCTAAACAGAAGGACATTGAGGCACACTAGGTGAGCCTAGTCACAGAAGAGTCCGCGAATGCATTCGCGCGCGCACGTGTAATAAAGCAGCGAGACGATTTAATGACAGCGCGCTAGCCGCGCTGTCATGAATGATGAAAGTACGCTGTCTAAACCAGGTCGTTGTATTAGCGTGTAACTTCTGTTGGTAAGCTTGCGAAACGTGGTTTTGTCGAAGGAGCGCTCGCGTTAACAAAGATCAGTAGCTAAAGTACGCTTGCAACGGCGGCTATCCAAAAGTGTACGTACGCACGAACACGGCAATGAATGTGCCGCGAAACGCTTTTATAGAAGGACTGAAAGATGTATAAAAACGCAAGTTTCGAACCAAAAAGCGCGTGTGGCCTTCGAAAGAGCTTTCCCCGCGCGTGGGCGGGATCGTGCAGGCAACATCTTTAGCGAAATAATTTGTTGGCCTAGTTGGGTAAACATCACAAAAATAAAAAAGCGCGAAAGACAAGGAGAAGTGGAAGACTAGACAGGACAAACCCTTGTCCTGTGTAGTCTTCCACTTGTCCTCGTATTTCGCGTTTTTTATTTTCGTGATGTAGCAACACAATCTGCCCGGGTGCTCCACCGCAAGTGCGTACGTAACCAGTGCTACCATGCTACAAGCCCGAGGTGGTTTTGCACGACGTTTCCCCTTCGCGCGTGCGCAGCGGTCCCGCTCAAAGCATCGCGCTCGCTCTGGTAGCATCTTCGCTCACACTTATCGCTGAAGACTGCCTGCCGTAGTGCAGCAACAGTGCTTCACACTGTAGCCGAGACATTGCGTCAGTGCAATATGTCATGTAGTAACGGTACACGGCGGTACGATGCTCATCGAGATCGAACAGGAGAGGGATGGACAGAGCCCAGCATCCCCAGCTGGTTCTGCGATTTCATGTTCCGTTCAACATGCTCGGCTACTAATCTTCCCTGAAGGAATGTAATCTACTGTGAGTGCTTGCCAACCAAAGATGTAAAGAACACACGTTGTGAAGGTTGTGCGAATTTAGTACTTTTTCACGAACATATTTGTACATACCACACACTTTGTAGGTCTCGAGAATATTAAGGGTGAATAAATAGAAAAACAAATCTCTTTGTACTAACAGGTGCTCCTGTGGCAGCGTCTGCAGACCAATGCAGACAGTCGAGGAGTCGGTGTGCTGCAGGGAGTTGCACAATGTGGTGCGTATGTGCAGTGACCAGGGGGTGCCTTGTGTAACAAAGCACCCCTTGTTCGAGCTGTATTGCCTAAACACCGACATCTTGGACCTAGAGTACCTCAAGCCCCGGTACTTCTGCCCTCTTGATGCAGGAGACAGGGGCCCACAAGAGTATGTATATTGTAATTCTAGCAGAAGTCATGATGTAAGCAAGATGATTTTCTCACTTGATACTGCCTCTCCTTCAGAAATCAACATTCCATGATTCCAGTTTTCTTATGCTCCATTTTTTTCTGGATTTGTAAGATAAAAGGATAAACCACCACAGAAGAGTTCTGTAACTTGTATTGCCTGCACTGTACTCGGCATCACCTGTTTTGTGCTGCATTGTCGAGGCAAATGTAGCTTCCACCGTGCTTCAGCTACACACTGCTGCAAAAGCACATGGCTTTGTGTTTATTCTCAATCAAATGCTATCGCACAACTAGCTTTGACAGTTAAAGCACTATCGCAGCTACTCTATCTTTTGCAACATGGCAGAAAATAGTTGTCACCAAATAAAACGCATGTGTAAACATGCACAATCTATGAAGAGTTTACTACTCAATAAAATTTGCTTTCAAGCTCGTCCATCGCTGTATTCATAGCATTTCAGATAATACAGATAGCAACTGGTACATATACAGGTCATCATTGCAGCATGGTTGGGTGCGATATCTCAAGGAAAAAATAACAAAATTGCGTAACGAGAAGTAAATTTTTATAAATGCCAATGACTGATTGACCTCGGTGATGACAAGTAATAAAAAATACAAAGGTATGCTTCTTCCTGCATTATCGATATTGCTCCCATGTAACTAGATATTGAGAAAATTTTTGTAAATTGCAGTTAGGTTCTATTATATTCTCTTGAACTGGCAACTGACTGGTACTTCATGCAATCATCTCATTTTAGGAGGCACCGCTACACTGCCTACCGGCAATTCACTTGGTAGGTTCACCATAAGCTGGGGCGCGGTAACCGGGTGCCACTGCCCAGCTGCGCCGTGCAACGAATTCGACGAGAGTTCCCATCCACCGATGGAAGTTATGTCGGTTTCAAGAAATAAAAGGTATCTGCCATATGAAGAACTCCTTTACATCATGCTATAACTGATGTGGCTAGACAAAAACGGCCTGGAATCAACACACATTTATTATACAACACAAAACCAGAACAGGGTGATGCAGGTCGAATATACAAGACGGTCCGTTTCCGTATTGTACTGAAAAATATACTTCTTGCAACACGTCTTGACCTTTCTCACTGAGTCTGGTTCTGCTGCAAGTCCTCCCATTAACTCTGTTCAAGTGCGCTTCCCATGTCTGTTACCAACAAATACTTGATCACCAATTGTTGCAGAAAATTTTACTAATTTTCACGTTTTGCTCAGTCAGGAACAGAAAGGCACCTGGAAACACATTTGTACTAACTTCATGGAACGATTCACAGCAAAACTCAACTTTCTAAAAAAAAAAATCATCACATGTGATAAGACCTCGATTTTCTAGTACAGTCTGGATACCGGACAACTTATGCACTGGAATACTCCCATGTCACCGATAAGAAAAATGGCAATGCAGAATCTGCAGAAAAGGTAAAGGAAAAAATGACATCTCTGCTAGAGGGGTTGGCACATGGTAACCTGCAGCACTATTCTCAACAGGCGGAAAGTTGCATGTAACATTGTAATGATAGGGGGGGGGGGGCATGTTAAAGAGGGTGTTAGTGAAATTGGAAGCTAATAAATCATGCTTTTGTCACCAGTCAATATTTAATATCCACAACTGGTAAAACTACCAGATGAGAAAGGTTTTCATGTAACAATATACCTTCTCGATTGCCGGGAGCAGAAAGGCCTTCTGAATAATAAAGAAGGTCTTGTAGCAGAAACAGGCGATGTCCATGCTACTGAGCATCCGCAGGGCCTTCTTGATGCTGCAGCCCGTGAAGAGGATTGCAGCAGCCACCAGGATGTTGCCAACTGGCTTCCGCCTGATGACAGGTTGGCTGCACCACGTCTCTGTATGGCCGCTCCGACAGAGCGTAGACACCTGAAGGCTTGAGCCCTGGACGGTCTTGTCGATGTGAGTGTTAGGGGCAGCACAGGAGCGACACGTCTCCAGTAGCTGGTCCAGGCATGACTCGAAGACGATGAACTTCCGCTCATGCACCAAAGACGGAGCTTCCTTCTCGGGGCTATGTTGCAAAAACAAACATCATCTCAACAAGTGGCTCAGTCAAGAATGAAGATGCGGTCAGTTATTGCTCAAGAGCATACAAACCTAGCAAAGCTGTCCTCTGACAGACAGTAGCTGGAATCCGCTTCTGCTCTTGGTGGACACAGATCTGAGAGATCCAGATCAGTGTCGAGCGCATCGTCTCCGTGAGACGGTGAAGAACACCAGACCATCGTCCCCGAAACATCCGTCTGCACGAACCGGGTCCTTGACGGCGGTTTGATGCATGCCTGGGCAACTGGTGAACAGTGTGGAGCTCTAGAAACATGCCTTTACACAATAAAATGCACATATTTGAATTTAATATTGGATTGGCGGCTACTTGGAACACTTCAGAAATTGTGCCAAAGCTTCTAATAAAGAAACTCTCATGACATCCCATGAATTCTAGAAGTACATCTCTAGAATTGCTCAAGTAATATCTTCATGTATAAGTCAACAGGTATCTTGGCTTCCGCCAATCTATATAACTTTCATGGTAAATATTTTTTGATATGCATTTAAAAATCATCTGGCTTAGACATTCCATCAAAAGCAGTAAGTGTGTGACAACACTTGATGGAGTGTTTAACAAACAGCACTTTCTATCTGAAGTTTGTGAAAAAAATAAACTCGGTAAATTGTGACCGTCGCACTGAGGCGTCACATGACACCATGTTGTCATATGACAATGATGTCACGTGGCCTTCTGACATCATGCAATGCCATAAACACAAACATAAGGTTCCCATGTAAAGTAATCTCCTTTAAGGCATTCTCATACCAACCAAAACAAGTTCCACCATATGACCCCACCTTTATTTTTGTAGATGCCCGTCGTCTGTGTCAGTGCACACCGTGTCTTGCAACACGCTGCTGCTGATGCCAAAGACGGCCTTGTGCTAGTTGCCGCACTGGAGTTCCCTAAAGAGAAAAGAAAGAAGGAACTATAAAATCACCTGGGAACCGTTGATACCATCAAAGTATTGTATGGGTGTTCACGGTGGCATCAAGGCACGCAATTTGGGCACATGTTCAAACAGTTGTTCTAGGACAGATAATGCAATATGGCAGAGGTTCAGTTAGTGGCCCATACATACCGGAGGGCACTGGGGCTCCTGATGTAGTCCTCATCCCGAAAATGCTCGCTGCATAGACGATCACTTTTCGAGGGAACCCACGTTGGAAAGGACGGGCGAGCGAGACGACTCCACAGGTAACAGAGCTTCTCGTCCTTCGGAAACGTGTGTGCCGACGTCTCACAACGAACAACACTGTTCCCACAACCCTCTGCCGCACAATATTTCGGCATCCCGTCGTAAAGTCGCCGAAAAACCTCGCAGAAAAATGATGTGTGTTAAACTTCACGACAAAGACACGCGCACCAAACCTGAGAACAACCGAAGCACGCGTTTGCACGTCGCGCGAGAGCTGAAACCAAGGTGGCTCACTTCGTTTTGGCTCTTTCCACCAAGACGCCTCGGTATTGCGTTCAGGCCTAGGCAATCTATACCAGTGAGCGGACATACCGCTGCGGCGCTGCTTTCAGAGGCATGTTGTCGTCACGACATTCCATTGAAGCTTCATAACCAACTACCAGGTGGTTTTTGATTATCGTTTAATTCACTTTAAAATATGTTTTCTTGCGTTTTCTAGCGCAATATTTATGTTTCTGTGGTTGTGCTGCTACCTGCGTCGTGTTGAAACAAAGAAATGAGCTCCAGAATTTGGTTTCCGTACCCCTTTAACGCGAGAAAACACGAAAAACACCCGACTCGTCGTGGCGTCATAAGATGGCCTTTCGGCCGCAAAGCTCGTGTCACTCGAGGGCCGCGCATGCAATCCCTAGCTTGCCAGGTGTATTCCCCCGTACTGGCACAAGTGTTAACATCTTTTTCTGCCCTTCTTAAAAAAAAAAAAAAAAAAATAGCAAGAGTACGCGTGCATAGCCGTGGTGAACGCTGCTGGATGGAAGATTCCGAGAACTCCTTTTATGGCGACACGCTCCTGGAAAGAGGGCCTTCGGTGGTACTCTGAAAATGATTTTCTGCAACCTCCATGCCCCAAATTATAAAAGAAATAATTTCGATGTTCGAGATCCTGGAGGTGAAATGAAGGCGACTTAAGTGTGTTTCCTCAAATACAAAACTGCTTCAGCTTCCTTTTAACTTGGTGTGTGAGAGTTATTTTAGTAGTCTCCGGAAGTATGTGCATTTAGGTGGCTCAGGTAGATCCGCAACGTGCTGGAGGTAGTGTAGTGTTGAGAGGGAGTGTGTTTGTACACGCCGAAGAAGCGTAGCATCTGCCCTATCTGCAGTGTGGAGTGGGCTGTAGGGGGTTATGTGGTTACGACGAAACTATAACAGAAGGCACGGCGAGTTTCCTTCTCGTCGTGCCTTGCGTTGTAGCTTCCGGGTCACGTAGGGGTCGATTTCCTCTGGCCATTGACAAGGGGTACTCGGATCGTCGGTGGCGTGCGTAGATGAGTGGGCGGCCTTGCAACACCGGCGCACAATGCAAATATTTGCCTTTTGGCGCCGTTGCACCCCATGACTCCAGCAACGTGTTATGTTCCTCTTTATTCATATTTGATGTCTGCCAAAAAGGTGAGCCTGTACTTGATTTTTTTTTTCTTTTGTAATTCCATCTTTTTTGTCTTTTGTTAGTTGTTATCTTTCAACATTTAAAGCCAGCAATAAAAAATTGATTTCTGAATCACCCCTGCCTCATGTCATCTCTCTAGTTCATTTCCACCCCGGACCTGTTGCCTGCAAATCAGTCAATCTTTTTGTAGAAAATGGGTTGTGGTCTTTGCCCCTTTTACGGACAAACTGGCGGACACTTTTTGTGGCAAGTATAGCCCAAAGTAGATCGACAGAGTCCTGGCTGATTCCCCATAGGGTAAAGTGCTATTTTACTGTTTTCGTTGGACCTACGCTGCCCAATCGGGTCTTTACAAAACACAGAATTCGTTTTATCGGCCGACTTTTATGAAATAACGACACGCTGGACGTGCAAAACACATTCTGTACTTCCTCAGTGCAGGTCAGCATGAACAAGCTAACGTAAATGTTAAGCGTTTTTTTTTTTAATTCAAAACAATATTAGCGATTGCGAACATGACAAAAACACTGAAGATAAAGGAAACGACATAAGTAAAAAAAACAGGTTTTCAGATGCAAAAAAAAAAGCCAAAACAATCATGTTGGTGAAATAATCGCGAACTATGCACAAAACCAAATTGTCACAGGATTTCTATGACAAATGTCACGCGTGGCACGTGTGACATTTGCGTAGGGGACTCATTGATTAGTAGAAAGACCCTTTCTCGAAATCTGTTTGGGGATCTGACACGAAGGTTTGTCCAGAAACTGAGAATCGCTGATCGGCACTTTGTAATTAAAGCCATTTTACACGCGTGTCGCTCGCGTAGCACGCGTCCAGCGCGTTTACATATCAATTAGTTATTTTCACTATACGTAAAAATGTGAAGCTCGATTTTTATCAAATGGCTTTAATAACAAGGTTCTGTTCAGCGTTTCTCAGTTTCTAGACAGACCTTCGCGTCATCTGCAAAAAGATTTGAAGAAAGGGTCTTTCTTCTATGCCACGAGTCCCTTACGCAAAGTGATCGAACAGAAGCGTCAATTGTTATCGCCTGCAATTTTACAAAGGAAGCAACCACAACCCTCTCGTGGTACGCAAACGCCAGTTCGTTTTAATGCCGTACTGAAGCTTACATCCCCCGGCGAAAAATATTCACATGGAAGAAGCACACCCGCCGCCCCACCCCCGCAGCGAATTTTGAAGACGACGACGTAGGTGACGCATTTTTCGTATTTTTGATTCCCACGTTGCTATGACCACCGTGACGTCTTTCACGAGCCGCGTTTGATTGGCTGTCCGTCCCCTTCGCAAGAGCGGCCGTTCGCAAGGAAAGTTTGGCAAAATACGGAGTTGCGAATTAGTCGAATTCGCACCGCAACTGCGTTGTGCCGCAAGAACGGCGTCGCAATTGCGAAATCGCAGGCAAATTCGCACCATGTGAATCAGGCATGACACGGGCCGGCCCTTTTACCAACAATGACAGTTGGGTTGACTTCTGGAGTCTTCACCGGAAGACTCGCTGCACTTGCCAACAGGCATACCGGCGTATGGGACTAGTCCCATGCTGTCGCTGTAGCGCAACATATCTCATTGAATCAGCGTTGCCAGATTGGAAAGATGCTTCGGCACCAAATTCTCGCCGAAATTTCACCAGATTTCACCAGCACTAAAATATCGCGTCTATTACGTATTTCCAATTCCTTCAGCTTTTTTACGCATGCACTCGCAAAGGGTAGCTTTCAGGAGGTTCATTGATATAAGGCATCGCAGCACAATAAAAAAGGAAGAAAGCAGACATGCGGCGCATCATCAGCATTGTTACTTTTTAATATACCATGTTTATGAGATGTTGGTTCTGGGTAGTCCTTAGACGGAAAATTCAAATTAATGAAGGCCACCGACACGTCAGAAAGACCACATAATATTGCACTTCAAGACACTCGCAGTCTAAATTAAGCATACATTATCTGCTCAGCAGTAAGAAAAAGAAACGCATAAGAACGAAGTCGAAATACAACACCATGATAAAGTTCAGTTCATTACAGGTTTTGAAGTCAAGCTTCAAGAAAAAAACTGATAAGCATGACATCTAGTCACATAACACTTCACACAAAGTCCAGTCACACTGGCACGGACAATCTCTTGACACATAAAGCACATCCATCGCTGATATCCATAAGAATATGGAACATAAATAAATAGGTTACATAAATACACTAACAAAACGCTAACAAAACGGTGTAAAATTGATTAATGCAAGTGACAAGCTATTTCTCAAGATTTTTCACCAGTTTTTGCCAGATATTGTCTGGTGTAGCCATTCCGGTACATCAACACCAGTAGCCCCCCCAATTTCACCAGATTTTCCAAATCTGGTGCCGGATTTCACCATCTGGCAACGCTGCATTGAATTTCGCTCAGCTGTGATGCGGCGATGAGAGGCGCCGATTCAGAAAATACGTCGGTGACATCAGCGCAGTAGAACCTACCGGCGCACCCCAACTCGACGCCGCTAACGCTCCCATTCTCCTACTGCCGAGAGAACTTCCGGTTCCGGAAACCGCGTACGTCACGGCTTGTTTCGCGGTCAGTTGGAGAGAAAGAAAAAGTCGATATTTCATTATTTTTTGTGTAGAAGTTAATAAACCGAGACGAAAACGGATGCCTGTTCGGCATTCAGTGAACACTGACGGTTTAATGTAAAAGTTATCTGGAAAAAGTAAAAAGGTCATTTCATGGTCCCTTTAATCATAAATTCATTACAGCACAAAGAATATCGATAAGTGTTAATCTTTTGTATAAACTGCTATTTAACGTCCATGAAATTCAAAATCTATTTTCCTGCAAGAAAGCATTTTTTTTTCTGTGCTAAGTGCCTTTGCGATTCCCTTGTGTTTTTCGTCACTCCTGTAAGCTTAAGCTTGAGTTAAACTTTCCCAATTTTAACTTTAATAAATTGTCTCGCCCCCATATCCCTCTCTCTCTCTCTTTCTCAAACACCTCCGTTTTTACCTTTTTTTAAGTAGTAACGAAGTTTGTAATAAGTAAAAGAAGTTCCAAAAATATACGCAACAAAGCCGTCGGCATGGTTTTGGTTCGATAATGTACCGTAGGGATCAGATCTTTGCTCTTGTTTGCGGCGGTGTTGTTTGTTGCGCACGCCTTGTCCTTCTCGCTGTTCGGCTGGAGGGGGCGTAAACCTTTCATTTCCAAAGCCGATGATGGACAGCTTCCTAATCGATTCCGGTTAAGAATAGCACTAAACCCTTTCGCTGCTCTTTCGTATAGCGTAGGGAAAAAATCATCGGTACGTGGGATGTATGGGCAAATCAAGTGACTTAGAGAAAGATAGAAAAAAAAAGTGGTTTCGGAGAAATTGGCAGCCTTAAAAACAACCTATTTAATAAAGGTGCTACGGCTCTTCATCGCGTTTCCAACGAGTAGCACGTTTCTATACGTCCGTGCCTGCTCGATCACCAACTAAGACGGAGTTTCTACTAGACTAGTCAAGCCCCGTTCCTACGTAGGCGGAGTATAGAGGGAGAGGGGAGTGTTAGCGCACAGGCTTACCCTTCTTTACGCTATTGGTCGTGCGCGCTGTGACGTCAGACAGCTGCGCTCCGTTCTTGACCGTCTTTCCCTTGGGTCTAGCCGCGTTGCAACCAACAGCAGCACGAGCAAGCAAAGTCCGGGGAGGGTTGCCACATGACGTTGTCTGTTTAAAATCCACGTCCCTCGCGAGATTTGAGATATGGTTATGTTGAGTAAGGACCTCTAAGAAGCTCCGGCTCACCGTGACCTTTTAACCTTGCTCTTCAGCTCGATCACGCGGGTCTGTACCCTCTGCGCTCAGTGTGAACACATCTGACCCGACGCTTTGCGTCTGTGCAATATGCTGAGACGTTTTCTAAGAATGACACGACTGGCCGGCTGCTGCTTCGTGGAGGGCCTCTTCGCATCCCCCGAAGCCACCCCCAAACTCACGGCGAGACGGCTGTCTCCGTACCTCCTGTACTTCTTGTTTGGCCTGGGCGTCAGCTGGTACCACTCCTTCAAGTCCGTCCTCAGGAACGGCTCCAAGGCGACCCTGGACGGCGACATCTACGTCGCCCTGTCCGCCAGTTTCTTCCTGGCGACGAACGCGACGGCCATCAGCATGGTGCTCCACGCCCCGAAGCTCGTCGAGCTCATCCACATGTGCGACGCGTTTGAGCTCAAGAGGCCGCTGCGTCAGCGGAGGAAGCTGAACCACCTCTGCACGTGGATCGTCCTGCTGCTGTGCGCGTTCACGCTGCATCAGAACGCCTTCCGGCTTCAGCGCCTGGTCACGACGGCCACTGCCCTGCACTTCGTGCGCCGTCTCTTCACGCTGCTCGGAGTTCTCTTCCAGCTCGCATGGACCCACATTTCGCCGGCCGGAGTGTTCCTGATGTCCCGTGTGCTGAACGCGTACGCTGAGGAGGCTCATGCTGCGCTCGAACTGATCGGTGAGTGACGGAACCTTAAGAGTTAGCCTTAATGTATTTTAGTTCATGATGTGTAAAGGGCATGAAACGTACGCATATTTTTAATCAATGTACGCGCCGCACTGGAACCAGAGGCAATCACACATTAATATAGCAATTTGGGCTAGTTGCTTCATGATCACGTACGTATAACGCCATGAAAAAATGCAGGGACAATAAAGTAGACAGACAAGGGCGCACTCACAGCTAACCTTTATTTGAAAAAAAAACTGTGGTTATGTACACACTACAGTCATCGCCCTTGTGACCCGTCATTTAGTGACAGGAGGTTTTTTGCTAGGTACCCAGATAACGTTTCTAAAGAGCTAGTACTTAAAGCTTTCGAAATTAAAGCAAAGGACGAGAAGTGTATAAGTGAAACATCACTATCTTTATCTTTTTTGTTACGAAGGTTACACCGGAATTTGCCATGACGCTTTGCTCTGCCACAGTGTGTCACAAAAAAAAAAAATGAAATTAGTTTTTCTTTTTTTTTTTTTTTATTACAAAATTATACTAGGCATTGCCGAACGCTCATTTCCGCCCAAAGGTAACGCTAGAGGTCACAACCAGATGACAAAGTTTCAGCCCGATTCGGTACCTTATTCAAAAATTGTAAGTGATTTTCTGAAAATTTCAATGGGAAAATGGAGCCCATTTTTGCCCGTTTTTGGATTCTGGTGTCATAGAGCCCCATGTATTAGAAAACTCCGTCGGTCGCAATTTTCCCATTGAAATTTTCAGAAAATCATTTATAACTTTTGATTAAGTTATCGGATCGGGCTAAAACTTTGGCATGTGGTTGTGACCTCTAGCGCTACCCTTGGGCGGAGAATGAGCGTTCGGCGATGCCTAGTTTATTTTTGCGGTAAAAAAAACCTGTAAATTATTTTTTGCGACACCCCATATATATATTAGTGTTTTCTTTTTTGTTTTGTTTTAAAACCAAGTTAGTTGCGAGTGCGCCCTTGTCTGTGTACTTTCTTGTCCTTATTTTTTGCGCTTGTTCACGTGAGCAACCACACACACTCCGTAGGTAACACCGAAAGAAATCTTGACGAGGTGCTTTTTGCAGGACCTGTCCACGAGCGTAAATTCCAGTACATTAATGCCCTACTTCTTGTAGATTACAACAAGAAACGGGGCATTAACAGAGAAGCAAGAACAAGCCTGCCTTGCTTCTCTATGACTAGCCAAACGCTTTCTCTTTCTTCCGGCGTCTCATTGGCACGGCGAACACGCTGATCCTCAGTGCGCCTTTTTGTTCAGCGATGACCTCCGACGCCGACCGGAGCACTTCCAGCGAGCGTCGGATTTATTTCATGGAGCGGAGACAACTGCGACACGCGCGCGTATTCACCAGTAAAATTGCGCAGCATCCAAGGATTAGAAGTACTAGGAGGGGGCACGTTGCAGTATTGGTGAAGCCTAGTCATAAAAAGTTTAAACGATTTTGTGCCCAGCGTGACCGCAGATCTCTCTGGCGATTGGTGCGCGTGACATGTCACGTGTGAGATGAACGGTTGATTGTAGAAGGACTCCTTGCAGGGTTGCGCGCGCTCCGTCCGGTAGGTTTTATCAGATCGAAGTCTAGACTATGGTGTATTCTAGTACCCCATAGCAAGACGAAGGCTAGCTACGGTCACGTGATGTGGTCACGTTGGCATGGTAAGTGCGGAGAGTAAGGAGGAAAATGAGAAAGAAACGAGGCGTCAAGGGAGCATGGCTTGTGGAGGCTACGCGGCCGACGTCATGCCCTCTCCTACCCTTCTAATATCCGTGCTGATGACCCACACGCAAAGGGACCCCCGACCCGCGCATGCTCGCGACGAGGAAAAGAGCAGAGGAGGCCAAATCGTTTTGTCACGAATGAACATTTTCCGGTGGGTCTGTCGAAAGAAACTCTGTCGTACTTAAAACACTGGTCAGGTAGCTCAAATCGCGGTCCGCAGTAGTGGGTTCGGTCCTGTGCACCCATCCCTAGCTTCATCTCGGTATCCGAATCTTATTCTTGGGCGAAGTGCAGAGTTGGCCAAATTACTCATTTATTGCAATTAAATTACATTACTAATTACTTTTTTCTGGAAATGACTGCAATGTATTTAAATTGCATTACAAATTACCACTACACCGAATAATGAATTACAGTTAAAATAACGCATAAATGTAATGAATTTACTTTCAAATTTCTGTTTCATATATTTTGAAGGAGAAGCTAAACAACAAGAACGAACGCACTCTGCTCAGCATTTGCAAAGTAACAATTGTCAACCCCACACCAAGACAGTGGGAAAAAACCAAAGACTGATAAGGCGAACCAACATGACCTCCCAAACCGAACCGACTGACCTTGGGTCTGTCTGTGTTGTAAGTTCACGTTTTTCCGAAATACCTACGCGCACGCTGTCGATCCCCGGATGTGTCTGGGTCCGGATTGTCTTGCTATTGATTATTCATCTGCGCTGTGTCTTCTTTGGGTGAATTTCGGGGCAAGATAATCTTCAAGGGGAGAAAAGCCATGTTTGGGGAAGCCTATTGTTGGTCCCAGCTGCACAGACCCAGCAGGACTTCTGGGGTACGACCCTCTAGACCAGGGGTGGCCAAACCTGGGCTCTCGAGCCGCATGCGGCTTTTTGCTGGTCCAAGTGCGGCTCGCGGATCGCTCGTAAGGGGACCCCCCCCCCCCCTCCCCTTTTCGCCCCTTTCCGCGTTTCCCCACATTTCAGAATAAAGCACACTGCAGCTTGTAGTTTGACAGCCTTGTGCTCCCATACGTACAGTTGTACAGCCTTGTGCCCCCATACGTACCGTCAGACTCTGAACAAAAGTTAAATTTGCCCTCCACCCTCCCCCCCCCCCCCCCCCCCCGCGGCTCTTAGAAGTTCCGTGGTTTTGTTTGCGGCTCTTAGGCCAGGCCAGCCTGGCCACCCCTGCTCTAGACTGACCTAGTGTGCCTTCGAGCAACGCGCACATAAAGGCACACGTCCGCGACCGTCACACGAACCAGCGGCCACAAACGAAAACCCCATTTGTTCTTTGCTTTGCGTTATTTTTTAAAGAAGGCTTATTTTTTTGCAAATGCAAGAACCGTATTAATTTTTGTTAATTTCCGGGCAAATAAAAAAAAAAACACGCGTGAAATATGCAAAAAGTAATTATGATTTTAATTATAATTACCGCCACTAGGGTAATTCATTACATTACTAAATCACCTTCATCAAAACGTAATGAGATACATTACAAAGTACTCTCAAAAGTAATTTCATTACAGCCACCTCTGGCAAAGTAAGGGAAAAGAGTTGACTTTCGTTGTCCGAAACGTTGAGCGTTAAAAGAGAAACGCTCTAAGTACGGTCCGCACGCTCCATCAGCCCTGTCTCCTCATAGTGAGTGGCGGAAGAAGGAGAGTCCCCTTGCGGCTCAAGTTCCTGAGCGACACCAAGGACGACCTGCGTCAGCTGCGCAGGATCGTGGAGGCCACCAACGACGTGTTCCACAAGGGCTTGCTCGCGGAGTTCGCCAAGGCCGGGGTTTGCCTGTGCTGCGCCATCTTCTACCTGATGTCCAGGAATAACCCCGTCACGGTGGCTGTTCACCACGCCCTCTTCGTCACCTTCATCGCCCTGAACCTGGCCTTGACCACCTGGAGCGCCGACGGAGTCGTCAACCAGGTGTATAGCTTGGTGCAGGTTTGCTCTTGCCGCAGCGGCTTTCCAAACACCCGTGCCGCTTCACCTGGTCACGTGCTCGATTCCCGTCTGGTGTCCTCATACTTTTGAATAGGCCCTATGGATTTACGTAGTAAATTATACATTAAACTATAATAAATTATATTATTTGTGCAACGCTGGAACATAACAAATGAACGTGTCGGTTTTCTTCGTGGAATTCGGCTGATGAAACATATTAGGTTCTAAAGTGTAAAAATCATGGCACACAAGATAAAATGGGTTCCGCTACTCTTTTCGGTAACCTTGCAACGTACTTGTTACATGTTTCAAAATGATAACGAATAACATGCTTGCGTTTCTTATTTCGAGTGGTAACGTACTTCCGTTACCTCATCTTCCTTCTACTTCTTCCCAAAACTTTAAAAAAAGAAAATTAAACTTTAATTTTTTTTTAGGCGTTTAGACATGAATTCTTGTACTTAGATGCCAGATACGTTCAATATCAAAACCGTAATTATGTTAAGTTTGTGCATATACATAAGGTTTTTTTCAAATATGCCGTTTATGCATATCTTTAACCTCAAAACAGTAGAATGTTTTCGTTCATAACTAAAAGTAACGTGCATTACTTCTTGTCGGAAATGGTAACGCGTTCAGTTTATTTTGACGTAACATAAATCGGTAACGCGTTCTTTTTGGTAGCGCGTTCCTTTTGTTACCAAGTAACGACTAACATATTTCAGTAACAACAGCGAGTGCGCTGTTATTTCTGAATGGGAAGAATTTATCATAAAGTAACACCAGAGATGGTGATGCGAAAAAATTCAGAAACTTTTAAGTCGAAAAAAAAGAGAACATGTAGGAGATTGAGACGTTCGCCTGCTGTTGTCTTTTCGTTCGACTTAACTTTCTTCATTTTTTCCGCGCCAGTCTCACGTATTACGTTAAAATAAACGTATTATTCTGTTTTTTTTTAACACTTGCAACACTGTTGTCGGAACGGGGCAAAAACAAAACCGAAAAACAACAATTTTTTTTTTACGAAAATAATTATCCCGGCAGAAGGGGAACAAAGGGGGAAACAAGGAGTGAAATGGAAAAATGTTCTTATCGGTTTTTTGGTTAAGGGGAATGTTCAGGCACTTCAGTATCTTCTGGCACTCAGAGGGACCAGAAGACGCCTTTGAATTGTTTATTAAGAAAAAAAGATAAGGTGAGGCTATGGTGCCTGGAACGCGTCCCCGACTGGTGTGTTTACCGCGGCCAAAAAAGTGGTCCCTCGATTTCCGCCTGATGACGTCATAAAAGCGTCATGCTGACGCCGGTCGCGACCCTGGCGGCGTCCCAACAGCTGTGGTGTATGTAGCAGATGCCTGTTCTGCTGCACGTCGCTTTTTACTGTGACAGTTCACGGAAGCTCGAGCAGCCGGAGTTGGGACGCCTGGGATGCCTAAAGGGACGCCGCGACGACAGCGACACTCGCGTTCGCTCGAGCTTTTCGCCAGCATTTCTACGGTCAACCGCCAGGATCGTGACAGGCAACAGCATGACACTCGCGTCATTTGTTGCCACATCGGGACCACTTTTGATGTATGGGCGAGATAGGACGCTAAACACACCAGTCGAAGACGCGATTCAGGCACCATAGTGAGGCTGGCGCACACCCTCATCTGGCAAGTGAGCTAGGCTCACCTGGACTGCGGTAAAAGAAACACATCCCACCGTGACCTGGACGTACCATGCTTGCTCAAAATGTTAGAAAAAGGAGTCACGCCTTCCAAAAACCACGAATGTATTGACATTCTGGAAAGACCGAAAAGAACACTAATCGGAACTGTGCACTTTCGCGCAATTAGCCCCTTGTGTACCATTCACACAGGTCATCGTGGAGCGGGCCTTATTGGCGCTCAAGTTTATTTTATCAGAGCAGTTCAATGCCTGAAGTCGTTTTTTTTTTTTCTCGCATCTTTTTTTTTTTTTTTTTTGCGTTTTTCTTTTTTTTTTTGGGGGGGGGGGGGGGGGTTGCATTAAGAGTTTGTTTGGTAGAGCTTTTGAATAACCTACTTTTTTTAATAAAAATGAACGTTTCGTTTTCTTTTTAATTTTTGTGTCTAGATTTTTTATTATTATTATTTTTTTTTTTTTTTTTTGCACACAAACACAAGCTGTCGCGGGCAAATGATTTTTTTTCGTTCCAAAACAAAACCGGAACGAACCTCTTTTTTTTTGTGAACAAACCTGAAATTAGAACGACAAACCTTCCGTTTTGACACCCTGGCAGTAATTAAACTGCCTAATATGCGCCGATACAATTCACGATTCGAGGCTTTACTTTACTTTGCGTTGGTGTTCGAAACTGTTCTATCCTCTTCTTTCAGGTAGAAAAAATAAAACAGAGCGTCAGAATGCACCTTGAGAGTGGAGCTGTGCCTCGGAATGGAAGAAAAGAGGTGAGCACTGAATCGCTGATTATAATCCTTCGACGCCCGTAGTAGTTTCAGAAACAATTGCAAGCTTAGTCAATCGATGTACTTTGTTTCTTTTCGACTATTATAAACTTGCGGTAAACATACATGGTTATTTTTATGCTTGGTTGTTGTTGTGTTGTTATTTTAGTTGATGTATGTTGTTGTTGTTGTTTTTGTTGTTGCTGGTAGTTGTGCTGCTCTTGTTGTTGTTGTTGTTGTCGTCGTCGTCATGGTTGTTGTTGTTGTTGCTGTTGGTGTTATTTTAATGTTGTTTTTATTGTTGTTGGTGGTGGTGTTGTCAATGTTGTTGCTGTTGTTATGGTTGTTGCACTTTACTACGATAAAGATGGCTCGACAGCCTGGAGGAGAAAAATTAAGGAAGTAACTAACTAAAACAAATTATATTCTTCGCTCAATACCAGCAGAGCGTGCAAAGTCCCAAAGAGGTAGTGGCCTCTGTTTTGCTCGGGTACGACACTTCGGATTGATCCAGTTCTTGTAATCACGTAAACTGGGGTTAATAAAAATAAATCAAATTATGCCCTCTCGTCGGGAAGATTTGCACACTCCCACAGTATAGGTCGGACTGCTACAAGAGGGACGCCTGCAGGGCATGCAGAACAGGTCAGTCACCGCTGGCTTGTAAGCTTCAGCTGACTGCATTGGTTCGCAGCCTAGGGCTGGTGTATGGAGATGGGCGTACTGCCTGGGTCATCAGTGGCAGGTGGGCGCCCTCTCTTTGGGGTGTAGACTCTTTATCGGGCCAGGACGTCTGCAGTGAGGGCGGCACCGGTGCATGCTTTATGGACGAGCACTTGAGTATACCTCTTGGTAAGGGTGAAGGGTTTGCTGGGTTCTGCTCCCTGAGATCCAAGTGATCTGCCATCTTGGATGCTGCCTTCTGCTCCCGGTGGTCGGGGTCGATTAGTGCGAGAGGGACCGAGATGTACGGGCATGAGCGGACATCCGACCATTCACTCGCACGTGCATGTGCGGCTTCGTTGCCCGAGCCACCCGCGTGCCCCGGTAACCAATCCACCCGTAACTCAAGATTGTGGGAGTAGAGCTGCTCAGCGCATAGGACTCCTTAATTGCCAAAGTTTCAGCCCGATCCGATACCTTATTCAAAAGTTATAAGTGATTTTCTGAAAGGTTCAATGGGAAAATGGCGGCCGACGGAGTTTTTGAATACACGGCGCTCCATGGGCATCAGAAACCGAAAACTCGCAAAAATGGGCTCCATTTTGCCATTGAAATGTCTAAAACTACAGTTTGGAGGTTTCATAATTATGCTTGCGCAGGCTCGCAGCTCGTTGTCGTCGTTTGACAACAGTGAAACAAAATTTCCTAAGGAACCGGAAGTAATCAAACGCTCGTAGAAGGTATGTCGGCAAAAAATGGATGTTGCTAGAACGGAAATATTCAACAATCGGTGTTTCTTTTATGTTTTCGGTTTTAACCAAGTTTGCTTTTTTTTCCATCGGCGGATGTTTATCGGCGTTTTTCGGTTAAAACCGGAAAATCTACGGTCTACATATAGGATAACACTCATCACTCTTAGAAAAAAGGGGACTAAAAGGAGGTAACAGATCACTTGTGCCACCCTCCTCCCGGCCAGGGGGAAGCGCTCCGCTTGTTACCTCCTCAGGCGCAGCAGACTAAGAATGCGGTGCTACGAAGTGATGTTCGCCGCGTAGGGGCACCGACGAGGTAAGTATTACTATGGTGCCTGGAGCGCGTCTCCGACTGGTGTGTTCAGCGTCCTATCCCGCTTATACATCAAAAGTGGTCCCAAAGTGCACCAACAAATGACGTCACAGAAGCTGGAGTGTCACGCTGTAGCCTGTCGCGATCCTGGCGGCTGGTCGTAGAAATGCTGGCGAAAAGCACAGGCGAACATAAGTGTCACTGTCGTCACGGCGTCCCAGGCGTCCCATCTTCCTGCTGCTGTAGCTCCCGTGGACTGTCGAAGTGAAGAGCAACCTGCAGCAGAACAGGCGTCTGCCACATTCACCACAGCTGCTGAGACACCACCAGGGTCGCGACCGGCGACAGCATGACACTTCTATGACGTAATCAGGCGGAAATCGAAGTACCACTGTTTAGACGCGGTAAACACACCTGTCGGAGACGGGTTCCAGGCACCATAGTATTACTGGTATTACCTCCCAGAGGGTGCACCTGTTTGGGCGCTGCCATAGAGTTATTATAATGTACGCTAGAGGTTCAACTGGCGCTAGTGTCTATGCGACTTCCGTGACGCAGATTGAAGCAGACAGCAACCAGTCTACTTTTCCAGCCTTCCCGTGTATTCCTATGGGAAAGCGCGCGTGCATTTTGTCTCTTCGCCGGAAAATAACACGGAACACTTTGGTTATTTGGGTCGTACCGAATAGTAGGTATCTTGATTAACACTGTAAAAGTGTAATTGCTTTAGGTAGCGCATTTTTCTTCATCAGTGACCGATGTTTAACTTCGCTACATTTCAGTCCCAAACGTGTGTTCCGCAGCAGGTGTGTAGAAACAAGCGACGATTCGAAGCAAAATTACAATCGAAAGGAATGTAGAGTGTGTTCAAGGCTCGCCAGCAATCCGATGACGCTTATATATTGATAATATGCCAGTCCTGTCACTATATAAAAATGACCCCGTCGTGCATGAGCGGATAAAAACATTTAAAACGTAGAGAATAAAGTCCGTGGGCTATAAAAGTTGTCTCTTCGTATTGCTTTCTCTGCCGGGCAGCTTTTATCGGGCACTTGTTCTCAAAGATTTCGAGCGTGCGAGTGATATTTTGAACGTAGAACAAGCAGCTTCGCTCAGAGCAGAAAGAATAAAACGGTACTTACTTATTTAAAATAGGAATAGATTACGTGGCCTTCGATTAATTTTGATCGTATATGCACGTGTAGTTACTGATCCAGTGTTACTGCGTAGTTCTTGCCGTCTTTCTTAATTTCCAGATGTTCTTCGTTCGTTTGGCACGTATATCCCCCACGCTGAAAAGCGCCGAAGTCGTGTTCGCGCTAACAGTGTCCGACAGTGCACATAAATACACATACGAAGCTGTTTTAGCACCGTCTTTAATGCGATGAATTTGAAAGAAAAACACCGTAACTGACCGATTCTTTCGTCGGCCTGACTGAGAAATTTTCCAAGCTACCTAGTACGTACGAATTATTCGGGATATTTGCTCTTATGATCGAGCGCAGAGAGAAAATGCACTCACTTTTTCCCATAGAAATGCATTACCGGAAGTCAATTTTCGACTGGTTGCTGTCTGCTTCAATTTGCGTCAGCACACTAGCGCCACTTGAACCTCTAGCGTACATTATAATAACTCTATGGGCGCTGCCAAAGCCTGGGCGCTGCGAATGGGTGTGGAAAGGCGCAAACAAGTTCGCTAATTGCTCTCCTCGTATGGCACGCTATTCTTCGCGCATGCGTGGGAGAGTTCCTGCCCGGTGCCGAACGCGTTCCCCGCCGACGCCACCGACACAAACTCTAAAAAAAGTATGTGCGTCTACTTTCACGCACAACACTCGGACAGCCAATCACTGCAACTTACAGAGGCAGCTTAGCGAATAACAATGCCGAAACATATGTTTAGACCGAAAAACGCAGTCTGAGTTGTGACATTAAGCAATGCAAAACGCCACGCTTGCATTGCATAATGTCACAACTCAGACTGCTTTTTTTTGGTCTAAACATATGTTTCGGCATTGTCATTCGCTGAGCTGCCTCCGTAAGTTGCGGTGATTGGCTCTCCGAGTGTTGTGCGGGGAAAGCAGACTCACGGGCTTTTTTTAGAGTGCAACGGTCTTTCTTCTCGAACGTTCGACGGAGGCGTCCCATTGCAAGAACGTTCTTTATTGTTCTGTTTGGCTCAGTCTCTTCTTACGAAGTCACCGAGAGCGCTGCATTGACTTCAGTCGAAAATCCAAGTCGTGTGCACCGTATGCAGGTAAGGAAATGTTCTGCGCGGGCGGCAGTTGGCGTCGGTTATGACTGCTCCGGGAAGGCGACCCCCGTCTTCCTTAGACAAAGGGTTGGCGGACATGTTTGCACGTTTGAAGGCGCCGAGCGTTCGATAAAATTAGTGTGTGGCGCGAACGCAGACACGGTTTAGACCATCGAAGTTCATAAAGAGCAAGAACAGGAATGACCGTCGCTTACACTAGCGCATATTTAGAGGGTTGACATACGCTAACCAGTGGCGTAGCCAGGAGCCTTTTCCAGTGTGTGTGTGTGCGGGTGGAGGAAGGGGGGGAGCGGGCGGCCCGGCGAACCTGGAGCCGGGCGACAAGACGCGTTTTGAATCGGGGATCGCCTACGTTTAAAGCGCCGTTCACACACATACAACCGAGTAAGACCGAGAGAGACCAGACCAGTTTTTAAGCCTCTTGCGAAGTCTTAGGACCAGATGCGATGCTGCGGAGCTAGTCCTAAGACATCGTAAGAGTCTTAAAAACCGGTCTGGTCTCTCTCGGTCTTACTAGGGGAGGAAGTGGCCGAGTGGGTAACGCGTCTCAGCTCGGAGCGTGCACGAGCGAAAGCTTGCGCTGGGAACCTCCTGGGTTCGGTCCCCGCCACCCCCGGCCGTTTCGAGCTGGATGAGTTTCGTATCGGCACGTGTTCGTGTGATCACTACTGCGTGATGCACGTTAAAAACCCCAGGTTAGCGGTTGTACCGCACTGGCCAAATTTCTCATCAACAGCTAAGAGACCGATACAAAAGCAAACCAATTTTTTTTTCTCGGTCTTACTCGGTTGTAAGTTTTTGAACGGCGCTTAAGGCGTGAGGGGGTAGAAGGCTTTCTGTTTTTAGAGCCGTTGGTTTGTCGCGTCGGGCGTTAAATTGACGATCTGATCAAATATTTGAAAATCTCATAAGGTGGTGGTTGTCTTCCCGGCGCGATTAATTCTCAACGTCGTTGATATTTGTAAAAGTCAGTGTTAAACACTAATTTTTTTCATCAACGTTTTTTTTTTTTTTTTTTTTTAATTTAACGAGGTTTAATAAATAGTTTGGTGAAATGTCACGTTACCTTAAAATACCGAATATAAATGTCGGACCTAATTATTCGTGCGCTTCACAAACATTAATAGTAGTATGTTACTGAATAAGCTCATGAAGTTGTTACCGGCACCGAGACCAGCAATTATATTGTCGTGGCATTTTCTTTGCGTGTGATCAGGCTTTTTTAAAAGTTTGATCATTCAGCAGGCGAGTGAGATATGGCTCAAGTTTGCATTAGTTGAAGTTGATTGAATATATTTCTTTCGCCCTGCGGCAACGTTGTAGGGTGATCTCGCCGAGGGTACCGGATGTCTGCTACTTTGGACTCATCTCGTGACAGTTCTTAGCACTGTTTACTGCAGGTAACCGTAGTCCAATATTTTATTTTGATTTTCTTACCATCTGTGCACTTCAAATGGGGCTCTTGATTTTTATGTTTATTTTGTGTGTGCTGTTTATTCATTTCCGAGCGAAAATTGAGGGTATACTTCGAGTAAATAAATTAGAGTAAGACACACAAGGCGCTTGAGTGTGTCTTTTTCGGTGTTCTTTTATTTTGTGTTTTCGTCCTTGTGTGCTGTTCTTCTCATGTCTAAATAAAACATACATTCAATTATAATCTGGCGAATTACTTCGGCAAAAAAATTTACATATTTGCCGAAGTTCGACTTTCGACAGTCAGAAATTATTCGTGCGCTTCGCAAACATCAATAGTATAGTATATTACTGAATAAGGTCATTAAGTTATTGGCGGCGGAGAGACTTGGCACTTTTTTTTTGCGTGTGATGAGGCATTTTTAAAAGTCATCATTCAGTAGGCGAGTGAGATGGCTCAAGTTTGCATTATTTGAAGTTGACTGAATATATTTCTTTCCTCCTGCGTCAACGTTGTAGGGTGAATTCGTCGAAGGTACTGGATGCCCGCTACCTTGGACGCAACTGCAGGTAAGCGTAGTCAAATATATTATTTTGATGTTCTTGTTCGCCTTTGGGCACTTGAAAGAGGTTCTTGATTTTTATATTTTCTTTATGTGTTGGTGTTCGTTCATTTTCCAGAAAAAATTGAGGGTATACTTCGAGTAAATAAATTAGAGTAAGACACACAAGGCGCTGGAGTGTGTATTTTCGGCGTGTTCTTGTTCTGTGTTTTCGTCCTTGTGTGCTGTTCTTCTCACGTCTAAATAAAACATACATTAAATTTTAATCTGGCAGAGCACTTCGGGAGAAATAATTGCATATTTGCCGAAGTTCGGCAGTTAGGGTTGGCGGTCATGTGGGTCTGCTGTGGTGCTGAGTAGCGAATGTGGTGTAGCACTCTGTGGTGTACGTTCTTCCTCTGTCCTTGTTTTAAAGCGCACTCATGTTTTTTTTCACGTACAATACACACTTGCCCAACAATCAGCACTTGTATATACTAACCTGCTACAGTAGTTGTACCCCTTTGACTAAGAATTGTTAGTCACCTAAGTAAATCGGGGTGACAAATTTAAACATGACCGGTGAATACAAAGTGCTTACTAATCTACGATTACCACCCGCCATGTGATAATTTTAGTCAGTGGTGGTTAGCCAACAGTTAAACTGGTCACGCCAAGCAAGTACGGTTGATGCTTTATAATGCTGGAATCAGCGGCCCATGAAATGCTCCAAATGCGTTTTAGAAAAATCTAATATTCACAGTTTCTTTAAATTGGGGATGATGTGTTTCAACTTCATATCACATGATTTCCACATTTTTTTGGTTACAGGCAGGCAGTGAAATGTACCCGGTGGCCTGTCAGCTCAAGCCTAATTAATCCTGAAGCGCCCAGCTATGTGGCAGTGGAGGGGACCTCGAAGCCGCGTCGCCTGCAGAGGCAGTCCTGGTTGCATTCTGCCTTTACTTCATCTCTACGAGTGCCATCACCAGTTCAGGCGCAGATTCATTGCACTAGAGTACTTAATTGATCTGAAACACTCAAATGTGGAGTCACGTGCAACACATTGCTTTCAAACGTAAAAGAAATGCCAAAAAGTATTTTCTTTTTTAATGCAGGTTTAGGAATTTCTTTGTCATTTTTTTTTTCCAATTAACCATCCTGACATAAGGCAGGATGGTTGATTCTGAGAGTTACAAAAGGTCAATGATATTGCTTTATAGTTCCATTTTTGTAATTTCCAAAATCACAGCTTTTTGCTTTGTGCAGCATTGGCATACTTAATTTATTTCAGTCTACTTCATACTCGGTGCCTGAAAGCATTCGAAGGTTGTGGTTTCATGTTCACAGTGATTTCTGCTTGCAAGGTTTAAATACAAAATGATTTTTGATGGCTTGCAAGGTTTAAATACAAGATGGTCAAAACCGATTTTCGCGATTCATTTGAAGTGGGTTAGACCCCTTTTGCCCTCGCGGTAGTTTGTTGCAGCTCATTAGCAGCAGGAGATATGATCCCTTTCTTCTTTACACATTAGAAGAGCAAATCCCAGAGTCTGCTTTCCTCTACTCCAGCGTTCATTCCACTACTGTGTATAGGACGGGCATAGTGTACTGCTGTCCTTGAGTTGCAACGCACTATAGTCATTGCTAGTCCTGTCTTGGTTTGTATTGCTGTTTGCAATATGTGTGATACAGAATCTATGTTACATCACAGTGCGTTCATTTTGATTCTGGTTTGTACAAGACTCAGTCACTTGAGTTCACCCCGGTGAAGCTTCGCTTTTCTAAGCAATGTTCCTAGCATTCACTGTTATTTTCCGGGTAGACGCTGATTGTTTATGTACTTTTTTGTGATAATTTTATTGACTGTCGCGAACTAGAGCCCTGAAACTGTTGTTCTAGATGACTTTATTGCGCTTAGTGGTTTCATCTTAGAACTTTTATAAAATGTCTAGTCATGTCATTGATTTTGATGCCATTTTGTTTGTGACAGCCACAATAAAACATTGTCATTTACTTTCAGAACTAGGCCGTCTTCATCTATTATAAAGCCCACCCTTGAAGCATGTGCTATCACACCCACAAAGGGCCATAGCACCATTCTTTAAAGGGTAAAAGTGATTCCATTAAGTGTACATTTAACCTGTCATAAAGTGGTGAACTGGGCCAGTTGTTTGCGGTTATACATGATAGGGGAAACAGCTCGGAAAGTGCGGACTATGAAGAACAAACACGACAGGACAGCACTGTCCTGTCATGTTTGTTCTTCGTAGTCCGCGTTTTCTGAGCTGTTTTCCTCATCGTTTAAATTTAACCCCAAAGTGGATCATAGTTCCCTCGTAAAGGAGGTAAAAGCAGCGCCCTCAATTATGTCGTCTTACCTCTCAAAAGGGTTAAAGTTCCCCCTAAAGGAGGTAAGGGCTGACCCTGAAAGTATGCACTTTTAACACCAAAAGGAACTAAGGTTACCTCCAAAAGGAGGCAATGTTACACCCTAACTCAGGGGGTAAGTTTGCACCCTCGTTGCAGGGGGTAACGTTACTTCCAAAAAAGGTTGCACTGTGTGCAAGTCGGTTACCCCCCCCCCCCCCCCCCCCTTAAGGAGAATACTACAGTACCCTTTTTTTTTTTTTAAGAGTAGATTGTCCAAACATGCTTCATCGAAAGTTCTGCCGGCATCCAATCAAGTATACTTCTACGACAACAAAAATATTTCTGAAATAAAGAGGGACGTGTTATTATTTGCCTTCTCGTCATAGCGATTCAACTGATAGTTTTCAATTATTTAACCTTTCGTTGTTGTTGTTGTTTTCCAGATCCAGACATTTGTTCTGTCGCTAGACAGCGAAGCTTATCGGCTCACTGCTGGCGGACTCTTCAAACTCAAGCTGAGCGTTTTACCCTCGGTAAGGCCACCTAACTCAGCTTTTAATCCGTCTCATCATGCAGATATTTCCGATGCGAGAACCCAATGTCTATTCACTTCGCAATGGTGGAATAAAACCGACCATACCCAAAGTCTTGGCTTTGGGTGTGGTGGGTGTCTGGTCCTACATCTACCCAACGTATTGCCCACCTGCCAGATCAACTCGCTGTCTCTCGCCACCCGCGGGCGCTGACATTACTTCGGGGGCAGGGCTTACGCAGTACCACCTAGGAGACAAGGCCCGAGCATGACGTCATCGTTAGTGGATCTCTTAGCCGCCCCAAGCGGCAAACACGCTGAAGGTCTGCGAGGGCCGCTCCCGTGCGTAACTTCCTGATATCTAACAGCCGCTATGGCCTAGTTTGACGAGAGGCGCTGTCAACCTCTGATTGGAATGTGGTAAACCGAATCTATAAAAAAAAGTTATAAGGTTAACGAATTTTAGGTAATTACGGATGGATTACCAAGCCTTTTGAACCGCCAAGCCTTTTGAATCGGGCGGCGGCTTGCGCCCCTAGTTAGTTCAGTAAACATCAGGACGATTCCGTGCCCCAAACATCCGCCACGGCCGATAATGGTATCCCAAAGAAATCGTTTCTTCATTTTAAGTGCATTTATATATATATATATAGTCTAGAGTTTTGCCCTGTATACGTACACGCGCCTGTCGGACAAACGGTATGTGCCCTTCTGCTTGCAGGTTGCAGGAGCGGTGTTCACCTACACGCTTATCCTGATCCAGACCAGTCTCCATTTTGAATACGGCTGCCTTGCCAAGCGCAACCTGGCGAACGGAAGTGCACCTAAGGACACGGGCCACGTCTTGAAGTCTGTGTTCTAAGCATCGTTGTTTATTCGTTGTTGTTTTTTTTTTTTTTTGTTCGTTTGTTGTTGTTTTTTTTTCTTTTTTCACCGGCGCGCGATGCTTTCAGCCATAGTTTCAACATGTGCAGTGATGGGATTGGTCCGAACGATCCACCTCTTTCGCTGCTCTTTCGGTAGAAGTAGTGCCTCCTGTCGGAGAACTATCTCGGTAGGAAACTCGTGGCATGGCCCCCGAGGTTCTTGGCGCGCAAAGCCGGCCGTTCCATTCGCTAAAAAAGACTGACTAGAAAAAAAAAAAAAAAAAAGTTTTGCAACAGTTTTTATTGCGCGGTGGTGCTGGGAATTCGGAACCGCAAATCATCATCATCGTGCTTGCTTCGCAAGCAGCCCAGATAGTAAAAATGTGCTCGTTTGCCCGAATGGTGCTCGTCGCTTTTTACACATTACTTCTTCAAGGGGGCAGTAGCTTGAAATCCGAGTGTTGCTCTTTTAAGAATAAATGCCTGATTGTTTTCATGCGAAATGCGCGTCCAATAATTTTGGTCAGAAAATAGTGGCGGGTCAATAACGAGTCTCAATAAAGTTGGACTCGTCATGTCTGTTCTTCGAGGGACCCTTAGCGAAAAGTCGTTCAAAATCAGTATACTGAAAGTATACTGAAAGTATACTAATAGTGAACTTAGGGTATGTACTGAAATCGTACTAGTTTCACACTTTTATGAAACAAAATAGTGTACCTTTAGTACACCCCAAGTACATATGTAGTATACCATAAGTGCACCTCGAGTGTACTTTTAGCATACTATAAGTGCACGTTTAGTACACTTCATGTATGCTTTTGGTGTACTAAATGTACACTACCAGTACATATATGCGGAGTGTCCCAGATAACTTCCACCAAACTTAAAAAAAAAAACGGAGCGTTCTCCGGGAGTGAAACCAACTGTACGCTGTTAGAAAGTCTCTTGCGAAAGTGCACGAAATTGTTTTAGTGCGCCTATTTACTTAATTAAGAGTAACAAGCTAACTTTTTAAATCTTCGTTTAAAAGCCGAGGTGTGAAATGGAAAGTTGTAGAGCGCATTAACACCCAATTAAACCATTTTCAACAAGGTGCGCTTTGCATGCTCCTTTTTCCTAGCCTTCAAAAAAACGCCCGCGAAATACAAAAAAATACCGCGTGACAACTCGCTTCCCCAATCACGGCGTGAGAGCGCGCTGCGAATGTGCATACTTTGAAGGCCGGAAAAAAGCACGAAAACGTATTATGTTTCAAACACTTTATATGGGTGTTTCTCAATGCGCCCGGCAACTTTACAATTAACATATTGGCCCTTAAAAGAATATTCGAAAGGTTAGCTCAATAATCTTAGTTATTTACATAACCAGGCGCATTAAAAAAATCTGTGCACTTTCTCAAGACACTTGCTAACGACAGTTGATTTCACTCCTGCAGAGCCCTCCGGTGTTTCTTAAGTATGGTGCAAGTTATCTGGGACGCCGCGTATGTCGGGCGTTTTGAATGGAGAGCACGGTCTCAAATTGACCAGAAAAATCGCCGCCTGCATTTAAAAAGCTGACCTTTCAAAGGTGTTTCTTTGAACGGCTGTATTCCAACCTGTGAAATTTCATCTTATACAGTTCCATTCTCGTGAAATGTTAAGAAACGCCGTTGACAACTCAAATGATGATGATAATGCAGAGGCGCCACCACCGGGAGATGCACTCTTAAAAATTGGTCAGGAAATTAACGAGGAAATCTTTGGCAGCTCTATTCCTCGTGAGAATGACATACCGGCATCTTCTGAAACTGTGTGAGAAAAGCCATAAAGAAGAGGTGCACTGCATTTTTCAACTGAAAGTATGTATGTGTAGCGTACAAACATTATGGTCAGTGTTCTTCACGTAATTGATAAGACAGAAATTGAAATCCTACTTATCATTTTATTCAAGTTTCCGAGCCTGCCTCACTGTACACTCTCCTTTGTGATGATGGTATGCCATTACATCCTGCGTAAAAAGAGAAGAGAAAATTAGCCTATGGCCACTCTATGATATAACATCACATAATTCCCTCAAAGGACCACTATGTGAGGAAGGCAAGACAGTAACAACTTCATCCTGACAAAAGGGCGAGGAAAATCG